GGCGCAGGCGGCCGCGGAGCTCCTGGCCTTCTGCGAGACGCACGCCAAAGATGACCCGCTGGTGACGCCGGTACCGGCCGCAGAGAACCCCTTCCGCGACAAGCGCCTCTTCTGCGTCCTGCTCTGAGCCTTCCTGACAGCCTACCCTCCCCTGCCAAAGTATGAATCCAATAAACGTGCTGATTGTGGCGGCACCTGCATTTTCGGGGAAACTGAGGCACGCGCGGAGCTGGGGTCCACCGCGTCTCTTCGCACCCGCCTGAGTGTGTGTAGAGTGTGGGTGTGGGGTGAGGATATGCGGGGTTTGTGGACGCGGAGGGTGTATCGAAGGAAAGGAGCCTGAGCTGAGAGCTCTGGGATCCTGAATTTATTTACTCGTCCCAACAGCCCCGGAGGCAGCTAGCTACTTGTATGGTGTCCCTTTTACAGACGAAGAAAGGGAGCCAGAGGTCCCTTACTCAAAGTCACACAGCTAGGAGATAATGAGTTGAAGACTGTGGATCCTAGTGCCCCCTGAACCCCTCCGCTGGCCTCTCTCCCCCCTCCTTCCTGGGCTGGAGGTTCTTGGGAGCTCCTGTACCCCACCCACCTCATCCCTAAATGACTCCGCTCTTTTTTTTTCCACGTCTGGCTGCGCCCTGCCACAAGCCTACCTCTGTCCTTAAGCACAGAACTCTGTTCATTCGTTCATTCATTCTTCCAAGCTGTGTACCCGCCCTGAGCTGGTTGAAGCTGGGGACATGGCTGTGACCGAGACGGCCCTGGCCCGCCCTCCTGGGGCTCAGAATCCAGCGGGAGAGACAGACATGTCCCCAGACTCAGCTTGGGGATCAGGGAGGGCTTCCTGGAGGAGGAGACATCTGGGCTGGGACGTGGTGGGATAATAAAACGTGGGATCCAGAGAAGAGAGCAGTGTGGCTAGAGGGAGAGGAGACCAACTGACATGTACGTTCCTTTCTGCGACAACAATTTTCTTTGTTCTGGGGACGCAGGGGTGACTGTGACAGCTCTAGTTCCTGTCCTGTGTTTCCCACTTCACGCATTGGTGGCCCGCAGGACATATATAGCCTAGAGTTATGTAATTTTGTGCTCTCTACTTTTGGCCTACATAATGTTTAAAAATGTTCTTCACTTGGTTGCCAAATCGAAAAATAGAGCACTTCACATAAAAGTCAATATTTCCATCTTCTCTGGAACTGACGGATCTGGCGACCTCAGACCTACACAACCCTACGGGGTGACCGCGGGCTATGAGATGGGATGGGGACTTTCCAGCTTGTTAAAGTCCCCACCCTGCCCTATGGTCTCCCAGTTGAGGAGGCCTAGGTTCAGTCGCTATCTGTCATGGCGCCTGTGTCAGGGGCTTCTGACAATCGAATGAAGAGAAAGGTGAAATGTCTTTGAAAAGTCTGTTGACGAAGAAATGAGAACTGGGTAAGCTGTTTGTTATTTTACCTTGTTGGCTTGAGGGCCACTGGGTTCGCGACCCCCTCCTTGCCCCTCACCCCGACCTCCTCTTCTCTGGAGAGTAACACCCCTGCTCCCCAGTTTGTGACTGACTGGAGGAGGGGGGCTGGCCCTTGGGTCTAGGTGGAGAAGGCTCAGTGGGCCCTGTGTGAGTCTGGCAAGTGCTCCATTATTCGCATCAGATTAGGGTCCCCTGGGCCCCGACTCTGAGCTTCCTGTCGAATTGAGACAGGAGACAGGAGCCGCTGTAATTACATCTCCCTCCTGCCCCCCACCTCTCAGCTTGCGGCTCGGCCGGGTTGCATCATGTCTGTGGGAGCCCCAGGGGAGATAGGGGACAGAGAGAGCCAAAGATGAGCTGAGGTTGGGGTGCGGAGAGAGATGCTGGGAGGGGAGTTGCCAGAAGGATTCTGGAATTTGTCAGATTCAACATCCTCGCATCTTAGAACCTGAAATGTAATGGAATCTGGAACTCCAGGATTCAGAGGGCTGGAATTCTGGAGTCTTTCAAACCTGTGGGGCCAAGATTCTGGGGTCCCGCCCTCTTGTCCGGAGCTGCATCAGTGTAAAGAATTTTTGTGCCCAGACTGTTGGGACTTAACCCTCTCAGCCTCGGGATCTGTGAGCTTCCTCTTTCGAATTCCTGGTCTTGGGGAACAGAAGTGGAGAGCGAGCAAGTGGGGCTGGCCGACCTGGCATAGGGAAGGGAGGACATGTCTGCCTGGAGCAGGAGGGGGAGAAGGGAAGGGAGCTGGACCCAGACGCTGGTCACCGAGGCTGGGAGGGAGGGAGGAGAAGTGAGAAGGGACAGGGCAGGTCCCTGGTGATTAGCTTTCATGCGTGCAAATCCAGATAATTTTGTTGGTGGTATGATGACACTGTAACACCAGCTTCCGTTCGCCAGCTGCTCTTTCCTGCCCCCCTGCTCCTCCTGTGAGGTCAGCTGTGGGGTCATTGCCTGGTCAAAGGTCAGAGAGGTAAACACCTGGGGAAGTGCTTGCTCTAGGCAGTCCCCTACCACTTCACTCCAAACCCTGAGGGCTTTTGCCACCCGCTCCTTCCGGCAGGGCTAAGGGGGTCAGGAAGGGGTGGCCCAGAGCCAGACGAGGCACATTTGTGGCCATCACTTATTGGGAGTCCTGTTTCATGTGCCCCAGCTCACTTAACTCTCTGATAGCTCCCCAAGGGACTCTGTTCCTCCTCATTTTATAGACGTGGCAAACAGGCACAGAGAGGGGAGGGCCTGAAGGACAGAAAGGGGGGGTCTCCCAGGGGAGGGGCAGGGCTGAGACGACAGAGTAGAGCCCCCTGGAACAGGAGTGAGAGCAGATATGTTGGCAAGGACTTGTTTGGGGTGGAGAAAACGGTGATGGGCTGAGAGAGTGGCCTCTGGCAGTAGATGGTTCTATCTTTCTATCTGCGGGGGAGGGACAGGGCAGGATAGATCCACAACAATGAGAAAGGGCACCGGTGGGCGGGCAGGCTTCCAGTCATGAGCAGCTAGTGGTGTGCAAGCATGTGTGCATGTGTGTGTTTGTGTGTGTGTGGTACAAGGTGGGGGCGGCCTCTCCCTAGGGCAGGGTCAGGAAGAGGACAGAAATCAAGGAGCCGAGCCGGACCCAGGGCAAGCTGGGCCTAGAAGCACATCTAGATGGGAGCCCTGGGTGTGGGTCTGGCCCGGGCCGCAGCTGGCTGTGGAATGACACAGCCCAGGGCCTCTGCCAGGCTCCGGCTCCAACGCCCTCCTGCCATCACTTGTCGCTTGCCATTTGGGAACGTGCCCCTATCGGATGGTGCCCTCTGCATCCCTAGCACCTTGGCACACAGAGAGTGGGTTAGGGCTTGTTAAGTGAATAATAACACCACCTTCCTAGAGGCAGGGAGGGTGGATTGCATCTCCGATGGTCATATATCACCCTGACCAGGGCAGCCATTTGATGAGGACATCGAGGCTCAGATAGGGGAAGTCATTTTCTAGTGTGTCACACAGTGACTGGTGAGCGGTGGCAGTGACTTCCAAACCCACCTGTCTTCCCTGCACCAGGCGGCCCCTCCACACACAAACACACACATTAGACACGGCCATAAAGAAGCACACGAGCCCACGACAACGGACACTCACGGACAAGCAAAAAGATGCACAAACAGGCCTCTGAGAAAACGATGCCTGCCCACACGTGCCATCGGCATATCCACAGTCCCTAGCACACCCCCTGGGGGGCCCATTTCGGTCCCCTCCCTGGTGCTGTGTGTCCATTTACAGTTGTCATTAGGGTGTCCTCTCTCATCTGCTGGCTGCCCCAGGTCTCTCTGGGGAGGCCTGAGTCTTGCTCCTCGCGGTGGGTGGATGGGGGAGGGCTGCTGACTCAGCCACTCTGAGCAGTTCCTTCCCACAGCTCCCCAATTCCCCCGCCCCCGCTCTCCCATGGCCCCTTCCCTGCCTAGAGGGGTGACCGCTTACGCCAAGGCACCAAGGAACCCTTTCTGACACGTGCCGTGGGCCTGGCTGGGGCGACAGCTAGGCAGGCAGCTGTGGGTCCCCAGGAGGTGGGCGGAGATGCGTCCAGCCCTGGCATGGACCCGGGGACCCTTAGTCTTCTCATTAGGAGTGAGTTACAGTCACAGCCACCCCCACCTGCTCCCCAAGCACAGTACCGATGCCACCCACAGTTGCGAGGGCTCCCGGCTCCCTGTGGCACAGGTGGAGAGACTGAGGTCCGGAGGGTGGGGGGCTTGTCTGAAGTCCCATGTGCATGGGAGCAGAGCAGACTTTCTAAACGCTCAAACGTCCCTGGTGCGGACAGGAAGCCAGTGGGAGGGAGGCTCCGGGAACCAGCGCTCCCCCCACCCGCCCTGAGTCCCCAGATGCAGAGACAGGATGCAAGCCTGCCAGGCGTCACCCTTCATTAATATCATATAACTTCCTGAGTTCCCTCCAGTCTGCCTGGCGACCAGGGGTCCACATGGTGGGGGGGCCCGAGACCCACACCCATGGGCACCCCCAGAGCAGGGCTGTGTGGTCACTCTTGGAGCCCCTGGTGTGGCTGGAGTCGGGGTATCCGTCCTGCCAGAAGCTGAGGATGCCGGCTGGGGCTGGCGATAGGGAGACTGGAGCGAGGGCGTGGCCGGGGGCTGTGGTCATGGGGACAGAGAGGGGAAGTCTGCAGCTCCCCGGGGTCCAGCCCTTGGGGTCGGGAGCCTCGCTCCTGGCCTTGGATATGGTTCATCTGCACAGGCTCTCTCCTTGTTACGGAGGACTCTGGGGTGGGCCACTGGCCACGATCTCTGGGCCACTGGACTCCGGGGTGGGCCTCTGGCTATGGTTGGGCACCAGGCCCATGAAGCCTGTTCCCCCCTTGTACAGATGAGGAAACTGAGGTATCCCATCTTCCCATCCTCACCTGGGACTATCCCACAGCAGTGGTTGAATTGGGACAGAAACTCAAGTCAAATGGAGTGGAGTGATACCCCAAATTTGTAATCTTTACACTTACACTGCCTCCCTAAAAAATAGGGGTGTCTGAGAGGGTCTCTGAGGTCCCATCTGGCCTTGTGGGCAGGAAGTCTGCATGGGAACCCTGGGCTCGGTGGGAATGGGCCTGGGGACAGCCATGCTGGCAGCTGGGACACACAGGCCTACCACACTGGCCCAGGGCAGCGGCAGCTGGGGTGCATTTGGGGAGGGGTGAGAGAGAGCAATGAGACGGCGATGTTGGAGGCCTGGACGGCTGTCTGTGGCTAAAATATTATTCCTGGAGGTCAAGGTCGCCAGAGCTTGGCCTGGGGCCTGGGAGTGCTGGTGTGAGAAGCAAGAGGGCGGGAGGGCCATCTCCACTTCCCAGGGCTCTGCCTCCGGGCCTGTGACGGGGGCCTCAGGGCAGGCTCCAGGGACTGGCCCGGAGCCTCCTTCCCCAGCCTTCTGGAAGGAATGAATCGTTCCAGGGGACAGAAACTTCCCAATGCCTGGAAAACACCGCATGGGGGAGGGAGGGGTTTCATGGTCATTTCTCAATCCCTGGGCAGTGTCCTAACCCTGGGGCCCAGAGCCCAGAGCCCAGAATAGATCGCAGAGGCCACCCCCAGACAGCCTTTAGGTCTGGCCAGCTGTCCCCTCAGGTCCCGTCCCGGCCCCATTGGTGAGCTCCAAACTTTAACTGAGATGAGTCAGTGATCCCCACCCGGGGGTGGGGGCTGCCGGGAGATGCCGGGGCAGGGAGAAGGGCAGAGACCTCTGCGTGAGGAGGTGGCAGGTGGCTCAGTGATGGAGACCATGAGAGGACACCGGGAGGCGAGCCAGAGGCGGAAGACGGATGCCCCGGGCAGGGGGACGGAGGGAGAGCGCCAGGGAAGGCGCACGCGGGGCGGAGGGGGCCTCCGGAGGAGAAGGCAGGGGGAGGGAAGGCGGGGCAGAGAGAGGAAATGAAAAAGCCCGGGCGAGTGAGCGAGCGGGCGAGATGAGTAGAGAGGGAGGAGGGAGGGAAGGAGGGGGACGCTGACACACGGAGACCTCACGGGGAGACCGGACCGGAGTGCGGGGACGGCGAGGGCTGAGGGAGGAGGCAGAGGTGCGGTGAGGAGGGGCCGCGCCCGCAGAGATGCAGAGCCCGCGGTAGAGGGCTGTGGGGCGGGGGAGAGGGAGAGGCAGAGGCAGAGGGGTGGACAAGGGAGGGGACAGAGACAGGGACAGCAAGAGACGGAGAGAAAGGGGCGGGGGGGGGAGAGAGAGAGAGAGAGAGAGAGAGAGAGAGAGAGAGAGAGAGAGAGGGAG